TTTACAATAGTAATAAATAGTTTTATTGATTTGTGATACAGAATATGATTTATAATTAATATATGATACAAATTTTTATTTCAAGAGAAATTGAATGTTTATAATAAAATTTATCATGACTAAAAAAATAAATTTTAAGTTCACAAAATCTATACTATTTTCTATATAAATAACTATATGCAAATTTTGTTTTTATTTAGAGCTTTTTTTATGAAAATGATTTTGATTAAACATAAAATATTCTTGACATATTTCCAATTTTTTAATTCTTTTCTAGCTTTACAAATTGCATTATTATCAGGTTGCTATATACTAATTAATTATACTACTTCTCATAAATTTTTAGTATTACAACATCTTTAAATATTTCTATTGATTATATCTATTAATACATATAGAGTTAAATAAGAATCTGTAATTTGTGATATTTCAATTTCATCATCTGCTTCTGTTTTAAGTATACTTCCAGTTGCTAAGATTGATATTGTAAATTCAGTTTCTAAATCAGAATTTTTAGATTCATTATCTATACTATTTAAACTTAAAACAAGTAATTCTTTTGCTTTATTTATTATAATCTTAGCAAAAATACTTGTTAAATCTTTTTCAATTATCTGGTATATTATCAAAAAAAATATTAATGTTATTATTTGTTTCGCTAATACTTGGTGAGTTCAAATTTATTTCAATTATAATTAAAAAAAATACAATAACTTTTACTTAAGATACTTTTAAAGTAATGAAAGTTATGTAAAAAAAATACTTAATAAGTTTGTAAATTGAGTCAATAAAATTCATTTTTATTATTTAGGTTAAAGGGTATTACATTGCATGAATATAGTGTTACCTTGATCTACATTTTTACAATTTTTACCAAATTTAGGCCGACATTATAAATTTGGCCAGAATTACAAAAATTTTGGCCAAAATTATATGATTTTTAATTGATAAATTTTAATTGATTTGAATTTTACCATATATTGTATATTTGAAGAGAATGTTATATTAAAAATTTCACTATGTTTATCATAATAAAAAAAATTTGCTCAAAATTTTTGCAAAATATCCTTTGACTTAAAAATACTATTTTTGATAACGTTAGTGGATTTGAGAAAAAAAAAGGTAAATATATTTTCCGAAATTATATATAGAAAACTTACACAACATAGACTTGGCATTTCTTATTGGATGGTTGTCAGCTGTTCTTGAATGCGTAGTTAACTGCGGTAACAAGTAATTATGTTATTTATGAGTGGCTTTGGCGTAATATAAAATTACCTAATCAGTTCATCTATTGTATTCTCCATTGTAAATAAATATATTTCAACATCATTCACGAATATCGACGTATATATAAGGTTCATAGATCCGAACATTAGAAATCTATGATATTTTTCTCGTTTTTTTTTTATAACGTTTCAAATTTAAATAAGGAATCATAATATGGTTACGAGACTTTTTAGTGCAAACCCTTTTGACGAGGATGTCGGTAAGTCCCTTTCCAAAAGTTATTACCTTCCCAGTTCTATTGAATTCTTAATATCAAACTCTCGCTTCTTCTAAGCACATTTTTGTATGTCTGTAGATAAGGCTACTTCGGAATTGATTCCTAAAGATCACGATGATATCATATTATATCTTGATATCAGTGATCAAATTCGTAGTAAAAAAGTATTAGCAAAGGATGCGATGAGAGCACTCAAAAGAAGGATCACTCATTCTAATCCTAACGTTCAGCTCTTGGCTCTAAGCGTAAGCAAACATTAATTGTTATTGTTACGCGATTTTGTTCAATTTATGTCGTCTCTTAATAGAACTTTGTATTTATTGTATATCTTTATTGTTTAATTTATACTCTAGCTGACAGATACTTGCGTGAAGAATGGAGGGAACCATTTCCTGATTGAAGTGGCATCACGTGAATTTGTAGATAGTTTGCTGTCAATTGTCAAGTCTCCTACGGTAAGTCTATCAATTTGTTTATGCTTTATACTATACACCAGTTAACTCATGATTCGCGTTACTAAAGGCTAATACAGAGGTTAGAAATAAACTTCTTGGCTTAATTCAAACATGGGCATTGGCTTTTGCTAGCAAACCCGAGTTGTCGTATGTCACAGAAACATATCGATTGTTGAAAGTAGAAGGTAATCTTTAAAAACATGATTATTTTAAAATTACTTCTATTTGGATGCTTACTAGTTTTTTACAGGTTGTGTATTTCCAAAGGTCGATCAAACATCATCAGTTATGATTGATACCGCAACGGTAAGTATCTTTCTTACACAAGCCTTATTCTTTTTCCAAAGTTCATTGTCACGATGTTTAACATTTTATGTTGATTACGCTAGCCACCTGAATGGACTGATAGTGATGAATGTGTACGATGTAGAACTCCATTCACGATGTTTAATCGCAAGGTACTATCTAAATTCGAGACTTAATTTAATAACATTATTTACAATTATTATTACGTATTTCATTTCCTTGTGGTATAGCATCATTGTCGAAATTGTGGTCAAACATTTTGTGGTGAATGTTCATCCAAAACATCTACATTAACACATATCGGAATAAATGAGCCAGTACGCGTATGCGATGCTTGTTATGTAAAGAGACAAGTTAAGGCTAGAAGGTAATACCTCATTTTAGTGGCATTTTTTTAAACAATATATGAAACATCTTTTAAATCTTATTTTTTTTTATTAGTAGTGTTGATTTTTCAAGTTCCAAAAGTTTATCAAGCCCTACAGCGCCTCCTACACTGTATTCATCTTTCAATGAAAGTATTGGCTATAGCAATAATGTCAACAATAACAATAATAGTAATAATAGTATTAGTTCAACAACTGCTCAAATTGACCAAGAGGATGAAGAATTGAAGAAAGCAATTGAGATTTCGTTGAAAGAGGCCGAATATAATAAGAATTATGTTCAACCTGCTCAGCAGAATATTGCAAAGAAGGCAGAACCTGTGAATAAGCAGGTATGTTTCAGCACTAGTAATGTATAATATATATATTAATTTATTTATTGACGGAATTTTAACTTAATTTACCAGGAGGAAGAGATGGATGAAGATCTTGCAGCAGCAATAGAGGCTTCTCTTCGTGAAATGCAGATCAATCAACCTCGTTCCGCGACCTCATACAATACAACTTCTAATTATTCAACTTATAATCCTTATGATTCTAAATCATCTGACCTTTCTGCCGCTTATGAACTGTCGACAATTGAAACCGAAAATATTTATCAATTTTCAGAATTACTCGATAGAATTCAACACAGTGGAGGAGATTTAATGAGAGATCGACAAGTTCAGGTATATTTAAGTTAAAAAAAATGTTTGTAATTCGGAATACATAATAATAAATTAATATTAATTATTCTAGGCACTGTATGATAAAATTGGGGAGTTGAAACCAAAATTAACGAAAAATTTGGCTGAAACAATACAAAAACATCGTAAGTACATTTGTAAATTAGTTACCTCTTGATCGCGATTTTATCTATTAAATCATTTTTGTTTGAAATTTTCAGAGGATCTTGTGGATATGCATGAAAAATTGTCACAAGTCTTAAAGATATACGATCGACTTATGGAAGAGAGAATGTCGAATACATATGCTAAACGTTCTTCTTTGGCTTCTTATCCTACGTCTCAACATTCTGCATCATCGATGGTTCCAAGTGGTGGGCCCACATATCCTGCTACACCTAATATTCGTACCTCCAATATTTATACACAATCACCTTCTTACCCAGTTGCTTCAGCACCGGCACCTTCACCAACTTATTACTCGGCACATACAGTACCTCCCTCACAGCCATACATACCACCCCAACAGAAAGCTGCAGAGAGCGCACCGATTGTTACCCAACAACACTCGCTTCCGCCTTTACAACAACAGATTCAACAGCAACCACTACCACAACCACCACAACAGCAACCACAACAACCACCACCACAACAATCACAACAACAATCACAACAACCACCACCACCATCATCATATGCACCATACTCGTATGTCCCGACACAGACATCTTATACACCTAATACAGCTTCCAGTGAGATTAATGCTGTCGGAAATCCAGGTGAGTATAAATCGAACGTTAATATAAATCAACAAGGGTATATACCACAGACAAATGGTACTGGTTCAGTCCATGCTCCACAATCGAATAGTAGTAATTCAGCATATGTACCCCCTCAGGCAAATTATGGGGTTGATTACGGGTAAGTTTGCTATGGATTCAGATAGTAAATGACGTTAAATCATCTTGAAATATTAAATTTTATAATTTAACCTTAATTTAGGTATCAAACACCATTACAACATCAACAAGCGCCCCCTCCACAGCAAAATTACTATCAATATCAAACTCCTCCATCTTCACAACAAATTCATTCTCCATCTCCATCGCATCAGATAGAAGAACCACTATTGATTGAACTTTAAAAATTAGATTATTCTTTGCAATGAGATCTCGAGCTACCAACTGAATAATTCATATATATATGTATATTATTATTATGTTTTTTTTTGTTTTTTTATTAAATATATATATATATATTTGTGGATTATAATACATTTAAAAGTGCATTGAGTGATCGTTATATATTTGTAAGATTATATTTATTTACAAAGTTTTTCTTAAGGACTATTGAGAATTCTATAATGTATTTATCTTGTTTGTTTTTTTTTTTTTTTTGTTTGGATTATTTTTTTTTTATTGAAAGTGTATAATAATATTAAGAAAAAGGAATTTTTTTTTAAAAAATATATATATATATAAAAGTCGCGTTTGATTTATAGCACAACACAACATAAAGATAATAAAAAATGTATATTTTGTATTTTTACGTGTTCATGCGTTAACACTGTTGAACGATGCACAATTTTTTTTTTTTTTTTTAAAAAATAAAAAGGTGGTGATACACATTACGTTAATTATATATTTAGATATACAGTTAGATTAATAGATATAAATTATGATTAAATTACAGAATTATCAACATTAATAATGACGCGTGAATCAGGTGTATTACTACTATCAACAGCTTGCCCAGTAGAGATCTCATTATTTGAATTAACTTTAACAAATCTCATTTTAATTGAAAGTAAAGTTAAACGTAATTTAATATTTACAAAGAATTTGATAAACTCAACAAACGAGAAATTCTTGTTTCGTTTAATGACCAGTTCATCACCACCACCTAACGGCTTATCACCACACCAAACGTTAAAAGTAGGGTTCTCATGACATTTATATTCAAAGGTAATACCGAGAGCAGCCAATAATACGGAAAGTAAGATCATGATATATATGATGATAGTAGGGATGAATCTTAAAGTTCCCTCATGACGAATGAATTGAATCATCTCTCTATAACCTTGATGAGCAAATTCATCTACACCACAAAAGAAGGTGTAAGAACCCGCCACAGAAGTGGCGACGTAGATGGATTCCCTTTCATATTTATAAACCAAGATTGGAGGTAATAATATAAAGAATGATATTAAAGAATAACGTATGATATCGATTGAGATTGGAATTAATGTTAAAAATGTCATGATGAACGCGAACCCACCGTACGCTGATGTTAATATTAACCCTAAATGCCAACACCAAAATGATAATAAACCTCCTATTGTACCGGTACTTAACCATATCACAAAATAATATAGAGCGGATCGAAAATATTTTTGTGAATTATCCATTATCAGTAAGATGACCAAAGATGTACTGGCTATTTTGGACGAGGGGGGATTTTTTTTTTCAGAGTTAAAATAAATCAAAAAAAATCATTATATATATATTTTTTACTCACACCAAAAAAGAAATCCCATGAGGAGCAATGTTATTCGAATCAATTTATAACCAAAGAAGGTTTCAATTAATCCAATCGTCATGAATATTATTCCATATAAAACACTTTGCCATGTATTTCGGGTTTTTAGGAATGGAGCTATATATTTATATATATATATATATATATTTTTTAAAAAAAAGGGTTGTTAGGGGGATACGCGTCGGGCGAAACCATTCCTGGAAAGGAGCCTTAAAATTTACCTGGTTCACCATAGGAAACGTTGTATGAAGGCGACACATTATATAGAATTTTAACAGTCGGTGACAAAGTTGGAGTAGGGGAACCGCTTGGAGTTAATACCATAGTCTGAATAGTCGGACTAGTGGTGGTAAGGGTTGATGTCGTGTGATTTATAGAAACATGATGATGATGATGATGATGATGATGATGAATTTTAGCGAAAGCGAATTGAGTGATTATAAGTAGCAAGAGTATTATGGAATAATGGAATTTCATTATTGATCAAGATTGGGACGTGGTTTCATTATAAAGAATGCAAAAAAAGTGTGAACACGTTATACGGGAAAGAAAGGAGAAAAAAAATATATAAATTTAAACAATAATTTTGTGTAACATGATTTTTATCTTTTTCTTTTTTAAGGAGTAATAAAAATAAAATTTTAAGGAAACTTTATTTCTAGAACTTGAACAGTCTAACCCGATAATGGACGAACTTCGCCGAACACAAAATGTAATTTTAAAAATCGTGAACTAATTTTAGAGATCTATGAATGACAATGTTCAAAATTGGTATAGATTGTTAGGTTTGGCGTCCATGTTATACGACTTGTGTATATATATAAGACATCATTTTCACTTTTTTTTTTTAATAATAAAATAAAATAAATTTCTTTCCAAGAGATATTTTTCAATTCCCTTTTTTTTTTTTTTTTAAATAGAAAAAAAAAAAATCATTTATATACGATACATATTATATAGAAGATAATGAATAATCCAAAACTTTGCATAACGATGACCACTCATGTTCCTACAGATACATCAATATATGAGTCGGAAACACCACCGTTAACTCCATCATCATCATCATCATCTTCACAATCCCCTCCATCAGAAGAAATCCTTAATACCAACAATGTTATTTCCAGACCACCAAATGTACTATATAGATTTCATAAAACTCCGATACAGGTTTATTCTAATAGTTACACGGTTTACGATTTTCCATTAGGTGCTTATAATGCGCTTCCATTGCAACGAACCGAACCCGATTACTGTTACATTAAAAATCTCAATAATAAAGAAACCAAAAAAGGTGGATTATTTGGATCATTGAGAAGGAAAAAGAACAATAACATTAATAAAAAGATGACCTTTAATATTAGCCATAGTAATAGAAATAGTATCGTTTATGAGGAAGAGATTAGAAGATATTCCGTATGACTTTAATTATTACAAGGGGGACTTTACGGACTTTTTTTTTTTGTTTTGTTTTTTTCCCCCTGCTTCGATGCGAATTAATCAAACATTATTTATTTAAAGAATTCTTTTTTTTCTCAATAATTAATGTAAATAATATAATTACCGTTAATTTATAATACATTCTCCCCACCCCCACTTTTTATTTACAATGTTTGAGGTGGTGAAATATCAAAAATTGATAATATTTATAGAAATTTACCTTTTTTAAAAGATGAAATCCTTTTTTAATACACTTGTGTATCGATATCGCTTTTAGGCGACAAACGATGTGGTCGATCAAAAAAAAAAAAATAATAAATTTAATAAAACAATGATGATAGAAAGGAACATTTTGGAGTGTAAAAACTTAAAAATAACAGGTTATTTCTTAGGTTCAAAAATTAAATAACAAATAATATTCGTTTTAATTATTTTTATCTTTGGGTTCAGGAAATATTTTAGTTCATTGTTAAATAAAGTTATGACACTGAACTGTACGAAAATTAAGTCATCTGTCACACGGATGGCGCAGTAAACAAAATAGAATCTCGGTAAATGTCGTGTTTTTATTTTACTTTTTTCTTTTGACCACGGATATGCACGTGATTATCGGACAAGTCCCCAAAATATTAATTTTTTTTTGTCATAAAGGCAGGTGACTTTCTAACTCAAAAGTCGAACAAATTAGTTGAAAGTCTAAGTACCCTCATCTTTTGCTCAAAGACAAATTTTTTTACGCATCTTCATAGAATTGAAAAAAATCTCGACACATAATAGATTATATTTGTCCATCTTTTTTATAAAGATAACAAAAGAAACAAATTAATCGGCAGAGGAACCTGAAAGTTTATTATAATTGCATAAAGTTTTGATATTATGGGATTTGGCGTGCGTGCACGTGCTTTGGAACGAAAATGATGAATGATAGATATGAAGCATAATGCTTTAAATTAACCCACTTGTCAAAAATAGGAAAGGGCTGTTTGTTTAATTCCTTTCCAACTAAATTAACCAAAGAATTACGCAATTATCAAAAATTACGAAATTATCATAAATTACGATATTTGTTGTTCTTTTTTATTTCAAAATAGTTGACAAGGAATCATTGTTAAACCTTCTTTAATATAAACGATCTGCTCAAGAATATTAATTTTCGCGCGCCCAAAAATTAGTCTACTTGTTGCGCTTGCAAATAAAAATTACACATAGGGTTTTTTTGAATTCTCCTTTCAATCAAACATGTATAAAAAAAGGTGATGTGTGATAACAGGTTTGATGGAATTTTTTAAAGATTGTCCCTCTTTATTTTAAAAAAAATCCTTTAGCGATTTATTAGTTCAAGTGGGCGTATTTACAATGCCTAGTTAAGGTTAAGTGACCTTTCCAAATGTCTCTCGCACTGTTCAAATTATGAATAAATTTGACTATGATTGATTTGGCACCGCGATTGGCGTAATAATGTTTAAAAGAACAATGTACCTTTTTTTTTTTAATGCTTTTGGTACCTTGTGACCTTTGGTTCACACTGAATTTATCCCTCATTTACCTTAATTTGAAATTTTTTTTTCGAATTTTTTCTCACATGATGAATTTTTTTTTCTGTCACGTATTTTAGATAAGGCATCCTTCAAATGGTAAATTCCGTTATCTGGGAATTTTTTTTCAATAAAATTAGGTGGGAAATTTGGAAAAATGATGTTATCATTTTATCGTTATCGAGATATCTTTGTCTTATTGTCATGTTATCATGTTATCGTGTCATCCTATCTTCTTATCAAACTTATCAAGAAAAGAGGTTATTTTATTTGAAACTGTGACACGTTTTACACAACAACAACAAACCCTAATTGAAAAAATGTTTGTTGAAATTTGTTATAAAGGGAACTTTGTTAATAAATGTTTTCATTAAAAAAAGGAATGATCATTACACTGAATGAGATGAGAAGGGTAAAAGCGGATTTCATAAATGAAGGCAATATATTAATCCTTAATCCCTTTCGGGGATAAACACATAAACATTCGATAGAAAGTGAAAATGGTCCTTCTAACTGATAAGACGCGTGAACACATCAAAATGTAATCAAGTTAAGTAAAAAAAAGAATGGATCAAAAAGATTAACAAAGAAATTCTTTTTGAAATTGGGATTAATTTTAATATGGATTAATTTGAATACGATGGGCAAATTTGATTTTGGAAAGACTCGTGTGTGAACATTCTTTATTTTTGATTCAAGTTGTTTAACAGGATTTTTTATTTTATTAAATAAATTTTTTTTTTTTTTTTTACCAGGTACTTTTGAAGTAGAACGTGATTATAATGAAAAAAAAATTTCCACGGGTGATTTGACAAAGAATCACCAAAAGAAAACTTTTTGTCACCATGGAACAAAGTACCAATGATTTAATTATTTGTTTATAAATTTTTTCATAACAAATTTCATAACAAACTGGGGAAATTCCTGTTTATATTTTGTTTACCAACCTGGTGCCCTTTGCGCAACATTATTTACATGTGCAATGATAGAAAATATTCGCACATTATTTCTGCAATTTCACAAGACCCTCCCCTCCCCTCCGATTTTTTTTTTTCCTTTTGGGCAATTCAAATTATTTGCGCGAATGTGTTAAGTAAAGGTTCCCAAATTCAAAAGTAATTTCCTCATGTCAAACCGCTTTTGAAAGTGACCCCAAACAATTGGCATTCATGAAAAGAAAGAAAAAAATTGATTTCCTCTTCTCCCAACTTTTAAGTTGGGAGAAAACTTGGGATTACAGGTTCTAAAATTTCCACGTTCAGTCGAATATTAATTTTATTATGTAGGGGATGCATAATTTGATCACACTACATTTACACCAAGTCATAATATATTCGGGTGTAATGTTTCACAACATAAATACAATGTACTTTTCTTGATTCTTAGGGTTTTACGTTCATTTCTTGTTACCTTTACGACTTTCACATTTGCACAACATCGTCACATTGACATGACTCGCATGTTCCAAACAAGCCTTATTACCAGATTTCCCCAAAATTAGCAATACTTGAAATGATCTGATAATTTAGATTCAATCACATCAAAGGAAATCCCATGGATAGATGGGGCAGTTTTATTCATTATTCAAATGAAACGGATGTTGTATTTAAAAAAAAAATAAATAAATAAATAAAATGTGAACAAAATAAAGAAGCGACAATGTTAATTTGGCATACCTCAAAAATCCCTTGATTTCGCAATTGTAGTTAGGTCATCTTGTTTTTGTTTATTTATTTATATTTCATTCCAATCACAGATTTTGCTTTCAAAAAAGTCTGTGAACAGAATGAAAAATTTTTTTTTTTGCGATTTTGCAATAGGATTTATCATTTGTCGTCAGTAAAACCAACAAAGAAGGGTCAAGTTTTATCGACCTGAGATGGTTGACATCATGTAAATATAAAACTGTTCCTTTCTAATCAAAGAAAAAAAAAATTCGGCCCGAGAAAAATATATTTTTATTTTTTTTCTTAAATAAAATCAATTAGACAAAAAGTTGTAAGCTAAGCCCAATATTGATTACAGGTATTTATTTTTGTGGTACAAAATTCACGAATGACCATCTACTCTAAAATTCTAGAAAATCACATTTATATTCTTAATACAAATTCTCCCAATTATCCAAAAAAATTTGATTTAAAATTTCTCACACACAGCATGTTTTCAATCAAAAATTTACTCCCACCCACAAAAATTTACTGTATGTATCAGCTGTTGCGACACTGCCTTTTCTATATTAAATCGACTAAATAATTAATTACTTATAAAAACCTATCCTCTCCGCTCGAATTTTTTTTCTTTTTTTTTTTTTTTCACCCACCTTCCTCTCGATATTCCTAACCCAAGTTTCGAATCGCAGACGGAAAATTATATATATAAAATAAATAAATATAAATATCTTTCTTTGTTCTAATATAAATTTTTTTTTTTTTTTTTTCTTTTTTTTTTATCGTTTAACGACTGACGGACGCTTTTTTTGGTTTTATCTCGCTAAAAAAGTAAACCTTCATTATATTATATTATTAATTTCTTTTGTAAATATTATTTATAATTTGTATAACAAAAGGGAAGAAGAAAAAATCCCCCTCACAAAGTCTTAATTTTTCATCAAACCTTTTTTTTTTTTTTCTTTTCCTCGTATTTTCTCGTATTTTCTTTTAATTTCCTCCCTCTCCGTCTCTCTCTATAATTTTTTTTCACTATTAATATATAAAAAATAAAAATTTCTTTTAAACTTACAATTTTGCTGCGTAACTCCAATCCAAAAAGTTGATTCTTGAAAATATTTCCTAATTCTTTGATACCTACTACTTATCTGTCCCCCTTTTTTTTCACGTATTTTCTTCCTTTTTGTCTTTTTCATTGTAAAAATTTCTTATTTAATACCATAACCTTTTTTTTTTTTTTAAAAAAAAAAACGAAAAAGGTTATCCTCTGTATATACCTATATATATATTTTTTTTTCTTTCTACTTTTTCTTTCTTTCTTTCAATACAAAATATTCATAAATTCAAAAAATCCAAAAAAAAATCCAAAAAAAATAAAATTTATCAAGGAAAAAAAATAAAACATGTCCTCACCATTCAATAAAATTCCCTATGTTCAATACGTAAAGGAATTCTTAATAGTAAACAATAGCTTCGATCAAGAGAGCACTGCTACTTCCCCAAGCACCAACATTCCACAACATAATTCTCATCATTTCCGAGACACATCCGCGGATTCTTCCGATAGTGATGAATTTTCGACCACACCTACCACACCAACCAGCACCTCCCCGGTCCTTGGCATTCTCAATAATAACAATCCACCAAATTTGCAACGTCGTGCTTCCGAGTCAATAGCCGAGGCGATTCAATTCAAAAAGTTACCAACCAGAAGGTACACTATCCCTGGACGAATGAATCCTTTTGGATTGATCGGTGGTTCCGAGAACGGCAACAGGGTGAACAAATTCTGGGAGGTCGGACGAGAAGATTCATCGGTTCAAGTCGCTATGGTAAATTTTACCTCGGATGATTTTTCTTTTTTAGTATGTAGAGAGAGATTTTTTCCTTACCTTTTTTTTTTACTAATCGTTCGATTTCCTCTCTCTTTTTAAAATAATTAGGAACATGTTCAATTTGGCTTGTAAAAAAAAAATTTCTCTCGATGATCAAGAACGCGACGAAATTCGAATTCATAGTAGTGAATCCTCGCAACTTAATCTATTCATACTAATATATTTTTGGACAATAATTCTATTATTCTTATGTAGTATATATTTTTTTTTTTAAAAAAAAAAAAAAAAAAAACAAATTGAATCGTGAAAAAAAAAAAAAAAAAAAATTATATATCCGTTCACCACTTTTTTTTCTTTTTTTTTTTTTTTTTTTTTTTTTATCGCTACACATTTATAAATTTTTAATAAATGTTTTTTTTTTTAAAAAAAAAAAAAAAAAGTATTTATAAATTTTCTTAATAAAATAAAAGTAAGATTTTTTGATTTAATGTTAAAATGATTCTCATAACTGATTGATCGTTTACTATACGAGATATAAAATTTATTCTGCAATACTAAACATAAATTTATTATTCAAAATAATTACGATAAATTTTTATTTTTTGATATTTGAAAAATACAGTACAAAAAAGATTTACGTAAAAAAAAAAAAAAAAAAAATAATTCCAAAAACTTCAACCAAAAAGAAATAAGAAATATAAAACAAAAATATATATATACGAAAAATAAAGTCAAAATATGAAAAAAAAATTTTTTTATAAGTATATTTTGAAAAAAAGTAATGAATTATTGATAAAAACAAGTGTCATCCTTAAGACGAATATATATATTATAAAAAGAAGATTGATGCTTGTGGAAAAGAGCAAAAAAAAAAAAACAATTAGTAGGAAGTAAGAAAGGTCTCAACAAACGAAAGAATAAAAGTCCGCATAATATCGGTGAGGAAGACTGACGAGGAAAAAAAAAAAAAAAAAAGTACTATACAAGAAGAGAGAGAGAAAATAAACTGTCCATTTTTTTTTAAGAAAAGTTAATATACAAGATACCCTCCAAGAAAAATGGCACAACTGCCATCCGAAATGTTCAAAATATACAAGATATATTATTATTATTATTATAATTATTCTATATGCTATTTCGCCTTACCCAAGTTCTTTTTTGATTAGGACTTGCTTTTGAAATTTTCTTCTTTTTTATAGAGCTAGATTTATTAGAACTTTTAAGAACGTCATTGTCCCTGCTCTTGCTTAATGTTCGAACCTTACGAGTATTCATGACCCAAAATTCTCCACTACCACCAAACGGTCCACTACGTTTTGGCTTGCGAAGTACCACGCTACGAACGCGTCGCACACTCTCTGTAATATCGACCAATGTGGTTGGCGGTGGCGTCCATTTGAATGCCGTAGGGAAAGAACCGGGTATTTTTAATTCTTCTTCATCTTGATCCATGTAATTGACAATATCTTCCATTTCGCAATTTTCTTGTGGTTCTGTTGATATTTTACTTTCATCTTGTATATCATCTGTTTTTTCTTTGACCGAGAACGTGCCATTGTTGACAGCTATTTCCTCTCCATTCTTTAGATCGTTTTCGTGTGTGCTTTTTACGTGTCCAGCACGCCTCAATCGTTCATTCGTAATCCTCCGTCGTAGCAATAAGGCGGGATCTTCCTCAGAATCTTCCTCCTCCGATACGCTCTCCTCGCCGTCGCTATCATCAAAATCTACAATCTCCCATTCGTCACTCTCTTCACTGTACTCCTCATCTTCAAATCGTCCGACTGTCGATCTCATACCCCAACGACCGCTCGTCAAGAATCGTGCTCCTTCCTTCAACCACCCCTTTCTACTCCCTACTACTTCCTTTTCTACCCCTTTCCACGTTACGGCCTTCATTTTAGGGCCGGTACGAAATTTGACGTTTTTTTTTTTACCATCCTCCAACATCCCAATCCCTCCGTCCTGCTGATCCATGTCGTAACCACCATACCCAGGGATCATACCGAAAGGCTGACCAGGTTTTAATAATTCAACCATTCGAATCACTTGACGCCCGGCCACCTCACATAACCACGCGTCTAGAACCAAGGAACCGAGAGTGAATAAAAATGTCCAGTACATCAGGTTCATAAAAGTTCGAGTCGTACTCGTTACCGATCTAGGTGCCTGTACATTACTGGTGGTTTGAAGCGATTCGGACATAAAGGAGTGAGTGGCATGTAAGAAAGGAAGGATGAGTGCACGTGTAAGGAGACGACATTGTTGCGTAAAATCATCTAAATCCGGAACGTCCGAACTTGGATTGTTTATAAGGTCGTTGGTCGAAACTCTGTATTGAATTCCATTCATTGCGTCACTTTCATCTTCTGGAATTTCTTCAGTTAAACCCGCAACGAGATTCTCCAAACCGGTCATGCTATTGCTGAAGGAATTTAAACTTTTTAAGAAGTCTTCCTTGTTACTATTGCTCTTTGTACGTTTATGTTTCTTTGGCCATCTGCCTTCCTTTGCAAATTCTGCATCTTCGGGTTTTAGACTATTCATCTCGATTGGAGATTCGAATTCCTCGTCCTCGTCCTCATCGTCCTCCCCATCCATGTCATCAAACATATTTAAGATATCATCGACATCAAAAGATGACGCGCTGACGTTTGAAACCGTACGCTTATCTTTCTCTCGGCCTTTAACCGGAAGTTCAACAGCTTCTGTCGCTTCAGAGAGCAGGGAGCTAATATTTTTAAGCATACGATCCAACTGCGTGTCACCACCAAAAGATTCATCGTCATCGTCTTCATCCTCACAATTTTCATCGATGGTGTGAATTTTATTAAAAGATTCTGATGATGGTAATTCAAGTCTATTCCTTGACGATGTACGTGACAATGAAACTGGGGTGATAGAAGGTGAAACGGTTCGAGAAGCGGGTCTTGAGGAAGGTCTTGAGGAAGGTCTTGAAGGATTACGTGAAGATGTACGAGAAACAGCCCGGGATGGCTGCCTTGACACCGAACGAGGTTTTGGATTAATTGGCAAACTACCTGGAGGTGCCAATAAGATCGCAGATAATGAATGCGTTGGATGATGAAGTTCCTCTATTGAGGAAGGTTGTATGATCTTGTCATCAATTTTTTTATTTTCAACCACGAACTCCTGTTGATGCTGTTGTTGTTTGATCGCAGCAAGCTTTGCAGCGTTGCTAGCATCCAGTTGTTTCTTGATTTCACTTGATGCCATTATATTTTCGGTAAGAGCCTATATAATAATATACTCGACATGTTAAAATAAATTATACATTCAAATGATTTACCAGAAAATGATTTTTGTACCTTCATTGTGACCACTTGTTTCATGACTTCTTCACTCGTCATGGTGTCTTGTTTGTCTTGCATCTTCTTGAGAACGGTTTGAATGCTAAATAAATAAATCATCAAAGTTCAAGGGATCAATATAGTTATCATGTGCGTGAGGAACTTTTGGGAGAGAGAGAAAAAGACACGTACTCTGACAATTGTGACCTTAGATCATGCATGGCGAAGGTTTGATCGCTCAAGATGCTTTGCAGTGATGAAACAAGGGATTCTAATTGGGTCATCTAAAGGTAACGAACGAGATTTCGAGAATCGAAAAGGTTAGAAAATACGCAACCGAAATAATTTTTTAAAATTTTGTGCCGAGAATCTTCGATCCATTACGTTATTTTGTATGAATTTTTTTCGTTCAATTTCTCGAGTCTCAACTTCCAACTTTGGTGAATGAAGAAAATATGATAATCAAATGATTTTTTTTAACAATGATTTCAAGGCTATACTATAAAAGTTAAAATTGCCACCTCATAAAAAAGTATGATAAAAATATGGCACACGTACTCGGACGGGATGGCTTACCTTATTAATCACTTCACCATTTTTTTCCTTTTCATCACCACCACCATTAGCCAAATATTCTGTGTGACCGATGAGTACTTCACGACTCTTTTCGAGTAATTGTTCAATGCTCAGCTCATCCCATTTGGAATAGGGAGGTGGTGGATTTAGTGAGCCAGGGGTAGGTGGTGTGTCAAGGTCTCCTTGCTCGATTTTGTTGTTTTGGACATCAATGGAACAGTTGTCTTCTTTTATTATTGAAAGGACCTGGTCGTCTTTTAAATGAACCGGAGTCCCGGGGATGATGACCTCGGTAGACATTATAAGAATACGGGTTTTTGATAGATTATTTTAATTACTTCAAGCGTAAGTGGGAAAAATTAATTTCTCGCGCAGCGAAAGTGTCGAAAGAAAAGAAAAAAAAACGTGGAATGGGCTCTTCCTTCTTCCCTTTTTCTCGTATATATATAAATTTTTTTTTTACAAAATGATTTTTGTCACACAAGTATATGGACTGTTTGCGGCTCGCGCTTCTTTTTTCAAAAAAAAAACAAATCACTTCTGGAGATGCCAATTTTGCGAAGTAGTTTTTTTTTGGGGGGTGTATATATATATGTGTGTATTATGTGTATATATGTACGTATTTTGTTGTGTATGTATTAATAATATATTTACGAGGGGGGGGGGGGGGGGGGGGGGAAAAAAAAAAAAAAGTATATAATTTTTTTTTTTTTTATTTTTTTTATGTGAAAAAAAAAAAAATATAACCTTTTTTTTTTTTTTTTTTTAAAAAAATTTTTTTTGT